TTGTGACATGTAAGGGTGCTCGGCCCCCCTACCTGTGAGTGAAAGAGGGGTGTAACATGTAACACAGAGGGGTTACATGTACCCAAGCCTGCTCCTCAGGGTAATTTTGGCCCTGGAATCCCTTCCTGGAGCCATCTTTGTTGTTATATTATTGTATATACAAAAGAATATATTTTTTTTTTAAGTGTTGGATGGGAACCCATAAAGTATCTCACACCAATTAAGGGAATGGGCAAAGGGGACAGGGTCGGAGGGGAATGGTGAAATGAGGCGGTGAATAAAAGAAAGCACAGTGAGAGGAGGTGTTGTGTTGGGGGTGAATCAAGTCTAATTAATGAAAATTTGTAAATAGAAATGAAGTCCAATCAAGGCATTTTTTTTTGGGGGGGGTTGTTCCGGATATGATTGTGATATTGTAGATTTTCCAGAATGAACATGATGACACACTCAGAATCAGAGGTGGTGAAGTAATGTGGAATTACTTGAGCCGGTGGAGGAGCAACGGATCCAGGTTTGTGGAGATTGGGTAAGATGTAGGGACAGATAAATTGAGGCGCGGAATGGTTGTTGGATGACTGGAACTGGCGGAGGGACCCGGATCCGGATGGAAATGGAACATACATAGGTTTTGGGATATGGGAATCAGCTGGTGTGGGGTGTGGGCAGAGGGGTATATAAGAAGTTGAGTTGGGAGAGTGATAGTGGTTGAGAAAGATCAAGGACCAGTCCAAAACTATGTGTAGGGTATTGAATACTTACCTCTTGTCCCTATATTACTGAGTTGTGAGGCAAGTCTGATATCAAAAATTGTACCTGTGGAGGGTACCTGTGGAGGCCAGGTCTTGAGGAACAGAGTGCCAGGTCTTGGGGAATTGCTGCCTGCAAAAACAGGGGTTTGGCAGATTTCTCTGTTTTTAATTTTTTAAACTGAGGCTGTCTTTTTTACACATAATTTTTCTCAGTGGCATTTTTCAAGAAAAGCAGAAATAAAATGGATCTATTCCCAAAGGAAATAACTTGAATTTTTACAAGCTCTTGATGTGAACAGGCCAAAATCAGTTTTACTGTAATTTCATAAAAAAAACCCACAGAGAATTAAAGTGGATTAAACTCAACCCCAAATTTTATTTATTAATAGTAATATAGCTGATTGGCCAAAACAAGACCATTTTTGTATTTATTTTTTATATCCACCTCGACTTCCTTTACTCTCATCAAGTTAAACCTGTGAGATCTAGAAGATAGCTTCAGAAATGGTAGTGTTTAGAGGTAGGAATTTCAGGCTCCTTTTGGCAGTCCATATCATAAAATGACATTGGAAAATTCTGCAGATTGTTTTGGGGGATCATATTTATGGCCATAACCAAAATTTGTGTTTGACTGGTCACACTATATCCAACTACAACACCATGTTGAGACAAACAGGGGAGAGAATGACTGAAGTTCACAGATGGAACATCATGTGACACTTAGGATTGAGAAAGAAAACATATGGTTCTGATTCACTGAAGAAGAAAGTACCAGACTAATCTATAGAGGAACTATGTACAGGATTTGTCTGTTGATTTTTGTTGAAGAATACCTTGCTACAAGCATATTATTCAACACACCAAAAATCCACTGTAATAAGTTGAGGATTGTCTAGCTGCATGATAATTGGTTTAAGGCTCATCAACCTTATTATATTTATCTGGATTTACATATTTTTACTTATGATATGATGGACTTCCAAATGGAGCCTAAAAAGCAGTAAATGTTTCTTCAAAGGAAACATCTGAAATATTGCATTGAACTGTCCAAGTGATTTGGAATATAATTCAAAATGGAAAGATAAAGCAGAGTGACAAGAGAAATAACCAAGTAGGGCTTGGGATCCAATTTCCTTTAATTGATTGCACTGAGAAAAATAGGTAGAGTGGGTTTTTTCATGGGATCAACCAAATGGAACAGGAGATCCAAGGATTCAGCGTAAATAAATGCAGTAGTTGTGTGAACTCCAAGACACATATCCAACAAAATCCAAGGTTTAATTGAATTTTATTTTCAGTTTTAGGAAATAGGTGGCAACAATCAGCCTTAACTAACTGCCTTGGCGTTGAGGTTTTGGTGAAAGACCTTGAAAGACCACCCTTTCGGGTGCTCTACATAGCTGACAAGCAAAGGTGGGCGCTGAGCGCCACGCCGCGCGAAAGTGGGACTTGAGTGCGCGGCGACTGGGGGACACGAGCTTCCACTTGCAGGATGCACATCACTTCAGTCTGCTCCAAATTTGACCACCAACCATCCCTGGACTCACGAGCCAATCCCGACAGCAGAACCTCAAGAAGCACCCAGTCCTCTGATATCCCTCATTGAACCCGCGCAATACTGGTTGCGAAGATTAAATGAAGGTCGCCACTTACACAGATCGATGATCGAGAATTATAACCTAAGCCAAATTAGAGTGCAGTCGCCCTCTCTAATGAGTTCGAATCTCGCTAGTTTTGTCTTTCACTAACCCGAAAACAACGAACGAACAAGAGCGACATTGGGGGTGGCGACTGGATGATGTTGAAACAATGGAATGGACTACGATAGATCTCCTGGAGTGAAGCCTTCAAATTAATCAACCATGACCAGTCTCTCCAGCGTTGAGAGTCCTAGAGGAGCAGTCGGATGATCTGGAAGGTTTCTTTTTGGCTCTGCGTTGGGTGTCGTAGCCTCCGTGTGTTTGGGGATAAGGTTGGGCAGCAATGATGAAAAGCATAGCATCTGATATCCTTTGCCATGATTAGCCTGTTGTGAAGTTATGGTCCATTTGGTCATCAACTCCTTCAGACAGTATGTTTTCATGTTTCTGAGCTGCCTACTTGCGTAACCATTTCCGATCGAACCAGCAATAACAATAGATGCTGTGTAGAAAAACAGCACGAGCAAAATAAAGTCCATTGTAATTGAATCAATCATTCTCCACCATATCACTGATGCTCTCGCTCCTCAAACACGAACTCTGGTCTGTATGTTCCTACTTAGATATATTTGATTGCGTCACATCTTTTGTTGGTTAGCGACTGCCATGTTGACTTCTGTTCATCTAAATCCTCAATCGACGTCATACCAAAGCTTTGATTGCTAACGATTAGCAACACGAGACGCTTGAATGTTTCCCTTGCCAAACCAGTAAGTCTAACTCCGGAGACAAATAATTCAGCTTGAACACTATGCTCACTTGTTTCCCATTCCCTTGATCCGGCGAAAATCCAAGAGAAATTTTACTTGTTTCCCATTACCTTGATCCGGCGAAAATCCGAGAGAAATTGGAATCCCCTGTCTCAAAGCTGACATTCGAATTGTAGGACTGCGATATTCTCGGCAGTATTTCCAAAACTTTGTTCGGGTGCAAAGCCAAAGCAAATTATCAGACACTTGCAGTTTATGATCGAATGACTCATCATGAGTCATGGTCACTTTTATGATTACGTTCAAAAACGTGGACCCGCAGCAAATGTTGGCTGAACGTGAGCTGTATGATTCAGAGTTTTTCCTGTAAAAATGAGAAACATCAGGATTTCAAGTCATCCGCCTTCATCCGCCGGTTGGAGTTTTGCGGTTGCCTCACACAGGTGCGAGCGAGGCCCAGTTGATAAGGCAGCCAATCGGACTCCTTTAGAGTGCATCCATGACCTTCACATTTCTCCGGTGTAAGCAGCCCGCATCTGAATCATTCGATGGTCCGCTCCTCGCATATCAAGAAAGCCATATCCATGCTCGGTGGTACTCTTGCAACTTCTCATGAGCAACTATTGTTGTTCTTGAATCTGATTGGTATCGCTACCCTCGCCACTCTTGTGACCGACTTGGTTCAGGAAGGCCCCGGTTCCGGTGGTTCTTGCGAGGGAACTCTTCTCATGCTAGCTGGAAAGCAACATCTGAACAGGGTACACGAGCCTGGAGAACATGAGATCAGCGAATCCAAGAGTTGTTTGTTGGTCGGTTCAGAACGAAATCTGGCAGCTGGAGAAGAGAACTTGAATAAGAATTTTTCTGAGAAGCAAGATGAAAAATGGGCAACTGAAGGTATTAAAAGTGAGATAGAGAAGCCGTAAGTGGGGAAACCATTTCTTCAGTTTCACATTAATCTCATGGATGCGGGTTATAACTAACACCATGTGATGGATTTTAGGAATCCAGCACATCTTAAATTCACAATTTCAAAACAGAAAGTCAAAAGTACAAGAAAGGGGAAGAAGAAGAAGCAGGGAAAAATTGAATCCAGTGCTGCTTGTGATCAAAAATCAGGGCGATTGCCTGATAGGCACCTTCCAGAGGCCCCTGATAAGGTCTTGGACAGGGGAAAAAAAGGGATTGCTGAAGTGCAACAAGCTTTCATAGAGCATTCAAAAGATCACAAGACTGAAGTTGCTGCAGAGGTCTCCAAAGTGTTCATTTTGACTGAGGAAGATCTGGAGTCGCGCATGAGGAATTTCTACGCTTCAAGAATCAAGGCTGCTTTCGATCCGAGAGAAACAGACCAGGACGGCGAGATCTTTCCCAAGGTTATCAAACCATTGTGGGCGCATGCCATACACACACCAGAATGCTCCAGGTTATTAGAAAAAAGTATTCAAAATGTAAGGATGGAGGCAAACAAAAGAGGACTTGATACAAGTTCTTGGTATAAAGAAAGCTTGAGAAACATACTAGAAATTCTGGAACCTCATTTGCAAACTACCAATCACCAAAATCATCTTTCTCTTCCAGAGATGGATGATACAATGTACAGGAATCTACAGGTACTTTGGAATTCCAATCCAGAAGCATTTTTGCAAATCGAACCAATTCTTGCATCCAGACTAAGCAAATATGAATTGCACAGGAGGCTTTCAACCTTAACCAACCAAATCATACAAAAGACAGCAATTGAGAACTGGAAGCTGATCAGTAAGGCATTAGGCGATAAAGGTAACAAGCGTCGAGTTAATCAGTTTTTAAAATCTCTTCAGCAAAATTTTGAGCTCGACCACGAATTCCCAGATACACTTAATTGCTTTGAGCTGTGGTCCAAAATCCCAACAATTTTCACAAATATACTAGGCAAGACTAAATACGATGCTTCGAGCTTACTTATGTCAATTGTAGGCCCTTTCGAATACAGGAGGCGATTCAACTTTGAAATTTTTTACCATGAATCCTCTGACTTGCAGTTAAACATCAAGCCTCAGACTGAGTTACCATTGAATGTTATGGAAGACCTTCACTTTTCAGAAAAATATAAGGGAGTAAATGTTTGGAATGTGTGCTGCATTGTCCGCTATCTTGGTCTGGGAAATTCAAAGCGTTTTGAAGACTCTTCAGACCATGACCTCTCGTCTGATTTTGAAAGTGTTTTGAAATTGTTGAATTGCAAAACGTACTGGTATGTTCCTTGGTTTGAGTCGGCTGATCGAGCCTGGTTGACCAAGACCTACAGCGAGTACCAGCAGCGGTTGAAGGATTTATGTGTAGAGCACCGAAAAAGATTCATCAAATCAATCAAAAGGCAGAAGGAGAAGGGAGGGGAAATTGAGAAGAAATTTCTGAATTTTTACAGGGAAGATCAAGTGTTATTCTATGACCTAGCAATGCCTCCACATGTCTTGAACTCACTTGAAGAGCTGCGAGCAGTCAACACCAAGTTCAAAGGTATTTCAACCCTGACAGATTGGGAATCAGTTTTTGAGTCTTCCCCTTGGAAATTCAACTCTTTACAGCAGGAGTTTATTCAAACTTGGTTTGATCAGAACTAAGAGGAGAATCCTTCTTTTGATATTTTTGATCTGATGCATCAAATCTTGGCCCTGATAGACTACAAACTGACTCAATTCTTTATAAAATGAATCATAAAAAAACACGAGAATCATAGATCTTGGCCCCCAAAGAATACAGGTCAAGTAATAGTAAATAGTTTGTAAATGAAGATTCAGAAATGTGACTATCTAGTGTTCAAGTATTGAGATGTGCAAGCTTTAGATCTGGTTCCTTTAATTATTACCAATCAATTTTTTTTTTTTGGGGGGGGGAAGTCTTCTGGGCTCCAGAGTATACTATCAATGTAAATACTTTGAAATTTTATCCTTGTGGGCTTGGATGTTAATAAATCCAATAAATCATCATTTACTAAAAGTTGTAAAACATAAGTCCACTTTTTATTCTCTACTTGATCAGCTTTTTTCACTGATTATCTCCATGGGCAATCAAATCATAGCCAGGATTTTTAATTCTTTTTTGAGCTTAACCTAAAAATTCATCCAAATTCACTTGAAATGTCCAAAGGATTGAAGTATGGATTATCACCTGTAAGACTATTGAGGGCAAAGAAATAGGGATTTCAGGATCATAGGGCTCAGATCTACTCACAAAAATAGCGTGTGTCAATGACCATAGGGGGAGGTTGTGCCAGTTTGATTTCATTCAGGGCTTGAGGTTTGCCATCAAATGGAAAAGCTGTCTTTTCTATCGCGGCTGGTTGTTCAAAGGCCGCTCGACTGCGCGTCCATGGCAGGCTGCGGCACTCCACCGCGCAAAGTGGTTGTGGCTCTCTCGTGTCCCGAGCTGTGCCGAGTTGTCCATTCCCCGGACCGGCCGCCGGACAAGATGACGAGCACACTCTCACTGGCCAACCTGCAGGGTGCAGCCAACAACCAAGCTGGGAATAGCAACAACACCAATCCTATCATCGACCGCAGACGATTCGTTGGCCCTGAGACTTCCACCCCATTCCCCGACTTCCCAACATCATCAAGCACATCAACTCACTCGACAACAAACACCGGTCGAGCTGATGGCCGCATCCACAGCGATAGTCGGCCGATATGTGAGTCGACGAGCCAATGCTGAAACCCATTCAGCTGTCTAACCACGCTTCGAAAATGAATTCCCCCCTCCATTCAATGAGAAATGCACAATACTAATCAATAATTTCTGGACGTGCTCGTTTGTACCCGCTGCGCAGGTATTAAAGTTGGCGTGATTTCTCAAGCAAACGGCAGCTGCTACATCGAATCTGGAAACTCGAAAGTCATCTGTGCTGTGTTAGTACTTGATTTTCTTATACATCTGGAGAGCAGGAAAAGCAGATAAAGAATTTTATCACTATCGCCCCCCTCAACACGGATCAATCTAATCCTTACTATCGGTTCGCTGCATACTGACACACCTTGTAAAAATCACAATAGGTATGGTCCCAAGCCTCGATCATCCTTGTCGAACTCTTCATCCCTGTCACCTCTTGTGATCAGTTTGAGATTCGCGCCATTCTGCATGGCCGGCGGTCGCATGGCACCTACTGCTTTGGGGGGTGTCGAAACAACGGTATCTCAATTGACCCAACAAGCACTGATGCCTTCACTCCTACCAATGAGCGACTCGTCCATCGTCGAGGTCCACATCAACGTGCTCGAATGGGACAGCCCTCTTAGTCCAGGTCCATGTGTCCTAGCTTCGAGCATCGCTCTAGCCTCAGCTGGGATCCCGACTGTTGGCCTCGTGATCCCCAGCACGCTCGCCCTCTCTAAAGAGCTCTACCTGGATCCGACCGCAACAGAAGCTGAGTCGGCGTCGGCGATCTTCGATCTTGCTTCCATCCCTGCCATGGGCACCGTGACCCATGTCGGTTTCCGGTCGACTACTGATTGGAAATCTGCTCCCATCGGAAACGATACCTTTGATCGATGTCTCGACTTGTGTAAATCTAATGCTGAACTGATTCATGGTCTTGCAGCTGCGGCACTTAAGGATCATCTCTCCACTTGATAATAATTAACCACTGTTGACCACCTCGTTCTCCTTCCATTGCGCTTGTGGGATTCACTCACTCGTCCTCTCTTGACCTGAGTGGCTGCTCCCGATTTGTTTCGAGCAATTCACCCGACTTTTCTCATGGAGTAAACCGGCCAGAGTACTACTCGCCCTAAGTTAGACCTTTCTGACCCTCCCCTTCGTCCCATACTACTACTTTCAAATCGCTATGTGTATTAGGAGACTACCTTATCTTCATACTTCTATCAACCCAAGGATCCACCAAAATGATGACTACTCTGATACTTCCGAAGAAGACTTAACGGAGAAGAAATGGGGACGGAAGAGGAAGGCGAACGAAGAATGGACGAAAGAAGAAGAGAAAAACAAAACCATTGATGATGATCAGTCTTGAACTGTCTTTTGAATTTCTTGTTCACAGACTCGTTTGAAATTGATCATCTTCTTTTTCGGGTTTATTTACTCTTTTGACTTCAACTCATTACTCTGTTCTGCCCTTTCCTCATTCCATCTTCATTCCCCTTTTCTCGCTTCTTTTTTCCAGTTATATGGAAAATAGGTCTTGATATGAGATTGAAATTTTTGCAAAGAACGGAAAGCTGATTGGATGGATTCCTTTTCCCTTTATCTTGTCATTTGGTTTGATTTGTAGATACCTCTTGATTGTTAATTTGTCTTGCTATTTCTCTCCTTTTTTTGTCGGAACGGGGAAAGTGGCATTCATGGCATACCACGCTCATCTTTCCTCACTCAAGAAGTCTGCCCCGCCATTTCCTTTAAGTTTCACTTTCTTTTTTCGGGAAAACAATTGGATACGTTCGTTCATTTAGAATCATTGCTAACAGTGAACAACCTCATGATAAGGTTCTAAGTGCAAAGGAACAATGATGATGATGATGACAATCTGCCTGGATGGCCAGTGTGCCACATGATCCCCACTTGGTTAAAATCAAGCAACAGAGGTACTCTTTATGTTTAGTCAGAACTCCTATGAAAAGGCTTCCCAACAAGCTCCATGGGTTTTTTTTTTTTTGGTTTCATCAAAACAACAAATTGAATCTGCTTCAACTGAGTACCAGGGCATTTCATGCTTTCCCAAAATTGTTGCTAAATTTAGGGCGCGTACCATAGCCGCCCGCGGCCTCCCAATTTCCAATTTTTTTGGCAGGAAACGTTTTTGGGAAAAAACGCGTACCACGGGGTCCAGTTTTTTTGACAACCCCACGAATCGTTTTTTCATTTTTGCTGCCGTTTGAGGAAACGGCCCCACCCCCGTTTGCAAAAACACTCCGTGCCACCTTGTCTCCAAAGCAACCGGGTACTCTACACTCTACACATGATAGACCCTAGTCTCTTCGATATCTCTCCGCCAGCTCACCCGTCCGATGGGTCGGATGATCAACTGCCACCACTACCACCTCCACTGCGGCTTTCCCCAGAAGACGAGGCCTCAAAAAGAAGACAACCACCTACCAATACAGCAAAAATGAACCCAAAGGCTTCTTCAACCACCCCAAAACCATCGGCAACCACCCCAAAACAATCTGCAACCCCAAAGACCCCAGCAATGACCTCCAAATCACCGGCAATCAACTCTAAATCTCTCCAAGAATCTGCAACATCCGATGGGAATGCTCCGCACACTTGGTCTACCCTCAAGAAATGTAAACTTCTGGAACTGCTCTATGATGAAATGTCCGCGGGACATGCGACCGATAATGGTAACTTGAAGAAAGAAGGTTGGACGGGGGTAATGAATGGGCTTAATGACTATTTCAACTTAAAACTTACTCGCGATCAAATCAAGAACCAGAAGAACGCGATCCGATCCCTCTTTTTCGACTACAAGTTCCTCTGTGAACAATCGGGCTTCGGTTGGGACAACAAAAAATTCACCGTCACAGCCGATCAAAGGACCTGGGACGAGCTGATTCAAGCTCATCCGAGACGCAATTTTGGCAAGCTTAAAGATAAGCCGTTTCCGATCTACGAGCTCGCCGAACGTGTATTTGTTGGGAATTTTGCGACTGGCGAGAGTGTCAATAAACACGTGCCGCCAGACGAAGTACCTGTTAAGGTCCCCAATGACTCAAACCCTGAGGCTAATTTGACCAATCCAACTCCAACTTCGAAAAAGAGAAAGAGTCAAAAGAAGAAGGATATCGTGGTCTCAAGTTCTTCCGACTCCGATAGCGATGTTCGAGTTTCAAAGAAGCAAAGCGAGTCGACCTCTAGGAAGCGTGTCCGCGAGACCAAGGGCACAGTGGTGACCAAGGGCATCGAAGGCTTAGTTGGGGCTATCAACAATGCCAGTAACACCATCGCTAATCTTAACAAAGAGGGGACTTCTTCGAAAGACGATCAACCAAACGGAACGACTCCTTCAAATCAAGATTCCCTCAATGCACAAGCTCTCAAACTTCTGTCTTCGTATTTCCTCAACAAAGTCGATGATGAAATATACATTCGCTACGTTTGGGTTCTTGAAGACGAAAAAAGGCGACAACATTCTTATCGCTAGCTCAAACGAGCTCACAAAAAATTTGCGAGATGTGGCTTGATCGTGAAGTAAATGGTCATTAGGCAAGTCATTCCTTTATCATCAGATCATACAATTTTCAGGCCTTTCATCAACTTACTCTCCTCTCTGTTTTGCTTTTGCAGTCACTTCAATTGTGTAATCTGTGTCTCTCTCTCTGGTCTATGATTACATGCTTGTTCAGTTTTCCAATTAGACATATTAGGACAGCCGAGTGCGAGCTATGACCACACAAAATATCTTGTTCTATCTCTTCTCCAAACAGTAGTGCGAGCTAAGATCACACAAAATAGTTGTTTTTTCTTCTTTCTCTTCTCTAAATAATCTAAACAGCGCAACATGGCCAAGTGTTCTCTTTTAGATAAACCACCAAACAGCAATCAATGATTGTTGTTCTTCCAATGCTCTCACTCACTAAGATAAATGGCCAAACAATGCCAGGTGTCATCAGGAAGCTCAATGCGACTAAACAAGCCTCATCAATTGTCATTGCACTGTTCTGATTGTCTAGCTCAATAACTTAAAAAGTTGATCGAGGACATGTTGTCCAACGAGGCAACAAGACTCAATGAAAGAAATGACAAAAAAAATTAAAAAACTAAAGAAAAATGTAAAATCAAGAAGCTATCACTTCTGGCCGGTGTAAGAAATGTACTGATCCCACATCTTATTTGCAATCCGATCACGCCGTATCTTCATGCGCGCATCCTCAACAGCCGGCGAATAGACCGTATTGGTTGAGATTGGTGTGTCGCTTGGTTCCTCAGCGGCTTCCTTCAACTCTTCCATAAGGGAGCTGAACGATTCGTTTTTTCGGATAAAGTTCCATAGTACACACAGCGAGTAGACCAACCTTATTTGTTTAGACAGATCAATTTCTGGTGGACTCTTAAGAATTGTATACTTTTTCTTAAATACACCGAACAGTCGCTCCACTATGTTTTGCAGGGACGCATGTCGAAGATTGTAGAGCTCCTTTGGGTTCGCTGGACGAAGACCGGCGGCCGCTTGTTCTTTGAGATGATATCGAACCGCTCGATAGGGTGTCATCAAGCCAGGCTGTAACCCATAGCCGCGTCCGCAACAAAGTATTTCTTAGCCGGAATCTTCAACTTCTTGGATGTCGCATCGTTAAAAACGCGAGTATCGTGTACGCGTACCTCCCATCCAGCAAGGATGT